TCATTATTTTATTAAGTGTGGTTTAGCACCTGGAGGTACATGCCTAAAACATGCTTACAAGTCAGTTTTAGAAAAGTGGTGATAAGTTTGTATTTTTTCTTCTTCAAAGTAATTACTTTTATAAAGGTGAAGATTTCATGAGTATTCACAATGATGTTATAAGTCACAATGACCACTTTACCTCCATCAACAGTTTCTGTAATGCCAGTTATCAAACATTTGCTGAGTATTTTGACACGCCGAGTTGCTAAATTGATTCTGTGCAGTGGTAGAAATCTACAATCTAATAAGTTCAGATGACCAACATTATTTCATCATGTACAGGGTATCAATACTCGAATGTGTTGTCTTTTCAGGAAGGAGCAGTAGGTATTACGCCTTGTCAAGATAAATATGAAATATGTTTTGAGAGTGTAGATGTTGCAGAAGGGCAGTTTACCACACAAGAACATGAATTACACTCTGAGAATGTGGATACCTTATTAATTAAAGAAGAGGTTTCTACTGAACAATCGAATGAAATGTTTTATGAGAACATGACTGCTTCATCAATCAAAAAGGAGCATCCTTTCACACAAGAACTGAGAGGGTGTTCTGAAAATGCTGATACAGGTGAGGAAAAGTGTGGCATGCATTTCAGCATTGTTGATGTTTCGTCAATCAAGAAAGAGCCAATCGATGAGGTGAACGTTACTCGGGACTCATTTGCTATAGGAGAAAATGAGACTGTGAATCCATTATCAATTAAACAAGAACAAGATATGGAACAAGAAGAATGTGATGCATATTTTGCAAATAATACACAAATGAAGGAAGGGGAAGTTGGCAATATAATTGCAACAGAACAGTCTTCCAGAGGGATAAATGAGACATTTTTTGAAAATGACAATATTATACATATTAAGGAAGAAGAACCTGAAATTCAAGAGAATAACAGCTATATTCCAATTAATGAAAACCACTTTACTACTCAGGGCATTAAAATGTGTTCCATGAATTTAGATCTTATGTCAGTTAAAGAAGAACAGCTCGCTGATGAAAGTTTTGCTGTAGTTAAAGTAAAAGAGGAAGAAATTACCTTTCCAGAACAAGAAGAAAGTGAAACAGATGAAGTGTTCAGGTTGGTACACTACTTGTATTTAGGATTTGAGGTTTCCACAGCGGTCAGTCTGAAGATTGGTGTCTTCTGGGTTGTTGCTGCTTCCGTCATCAGGGCGATGAAGTTCATCGCCCTGATGACAGCGACGTTATTTTCACAAGCAAAAGTAAAATTTGAAGGGGTGTTAAAAATTATGAATATGTAATATGACAATAATCTGTATGCCTGCTGTTGTAATAGTTCAAGGGTACAGATTTTAGTGGAATCAAGAAAGTGCAATTAACATCAGCGATCAGTAGTGATGGATATTAACAATTTATCTATAATAAAACATTTTATATTTTAATATGACTTGTATAATCTTGTTCCAGTATGAATGGACTAACTGTTGCTGGTCAATCACCAACAACAGAGCAACAAAATACATCCAGGGATGTTCATATCTTTCAGCCAGATGGAACTGACCATAGTGCAAATACACTTCATAAATGTGAGACATGTGGGAAAACATTTATGAAACGTAAATATCTTCTTGCACATGTTCGTATCCATACAGATGAACGTTGCCATAAATGCAAAGTGTGTGGAAAAGCCTTTCGATTACGCTATGCTCTTAAGAGACATTTTCTCACTCATAAAAAATGCCAAGTATGCCATAAAACCTTTCGGTCCCTCAAAATACATGCCCTAACCCATTTAGAGAATCAGTCTCAAGAATGTAAGATCTGTAATAAAACATTTGCATCTCTACGTGCTCTTCAGACACACGTTCGTACACATACAAATCAAATCCAAGAATGTAAACTTTGTGGTAAAACACTTACAACCTTAGGATCCCTTAAGACACATGTAAGAGTACATACAGGTGAACGTCCATATGAATGTAAGATATGCAGCAAAAACTTCATACGTTCAAACAGACTTAAGGAACATGTTCGTATTCATACAGGAGAACAACCATATCAGTGCAAGACATGCTGGAAGACTTTCAAGTTTGCAAATACTTTGAGGCTCCATGTTCGTCTTCATGCAAATGAAAGAACATTTAAATGTAAAGTATGTGATAAAGATTTTCAACTTCTAGGTGACCTCAAGAAACATTATATTACTCACAAAAAAAATAACACTTACAACTGCATACTTTGTAATGAAAGATTTACAGATCTTCGTAGGTTCAAGAAGCATATTTTAGTTCACACACGTGAACAGCTCTACTAGTGCATGATATGTGAGCAGATATTTAGGTGTTTAGTCTCCCTGAAGGCACACATTTGTTCACACAGATGAACGGCCATATAAATGGAGTGAGTGTGGTAAAATGTTTCGATATAGATCAACTCTAAAATCACATTCCTTAATCCATTCAAGGAGAGATCCTAATGAGTGCAGGATTTGCAGAAAATCATTTACGGAGCCATAATACTTAAAGATACATTCCTTAATCCACCAGTGGCGGCTGCCCTAGTAGAAATATAATGTCAATGCACACCCAGTTGATTTCAACTCATCTTAGTGTATCACAGATACATATTTGTGCCAACTAGGAAAGTAACCCCACATTTCAAAACTTTACTTAAAGTCTGATGCTTTTATTGCATAAGATTTCAAATTGAACAAAAACAATATTAATCTACCTTATTTCAGGATGTGTCACTTTCGCGAGGAACATCACGTACAGCATTTCCCCCTTCCCCGTCAATAAGAAGCAGTGAAGCAGCAGATTAAAGAACATAAACATACTTCACTGAATCAAATGCCTTGATGGCAGAGCCTAAGGTCAAGGGGGGAGAAGGTATGAGCCCCATGAACATATTTGACATGCAGCATGCCCCTGTAGAAACTTAAAATACCTATTTGACCTGAAATGTGAAATGTTTTGTTGTAGAATAAAAAATTCTTTGATGTCTGTATCACTTAATATGAATAAAATAAAATAAAACTAATGACAAATATGAAGAATGAAAGTACAAGCAAGCATATGGACATAAGAGTGTTGTCAACATCTAGTAAAAAGGAGATAAGAAATTGCTTTGTTAATGGAATAGTAGTACACGACTATCAAATCCTAGGCCATCTTTAATTAATTCCACTTCATTTACTAGAAGAGTGCCTGCAGTGTTACTGCATAGAAATTCAACAGATGCTTATATTTGCTGCTAATCCTTATTGTCCGCGCGGTCTGAGGCGTGGGCCTTCTGCCTCTTGGTCGCTGGGACCGTGGGTTCGAATCCCACTCAAGCCATGGATGTCTGTTCGCGTTTCTGTGCTGTCCTGTGTACAGGTAGAGGTGTTGCCACGGGCCAATCCCTCTGTCTATAGATCAAAGCCAACATCTTCACTGGAACTCAAATTCAGGGCAGTTTTAAGTTTCTGAAATCTCCTTGCTAAAATGAATACATTTTACCTTTCTGCCATCCTTCTATTGTGTTTAATTTCTGAGCTACAGGAAACATCATGAGGAATTGAATCCAGGAAATTTTTTTTGGTGTTGTGGCCTTTGTTCCTGTTACCTCTTTGGACCTGGCACCATTCTTCCATCATGCTTAATTTTTGAGCAACAGAAACAATCTTCATCAGGAATTCAGGAGTTTCCTATGGTTGTAACTTTTGTTGCTATAATCTCTTTATAACAAACAACTTCAGTCTTTGCACCATTCTTCCGATATGCTTAGTTTCTGAGTTACTGGGAAACGAACTCAGGACACTTTTTTCAAGAGTGTTGATCCTCCCATGTTCTCTTCCTGGTCTCAGGGAATAAGCATGCAAAGTGTGTTGCAAATTAGTATATCCATTCTTGATATATAAGTGAACAAATAATATTAACACAATTTCAAGATAAGATTCTTTATCAACTGTCATGATTATGTAATACCAGTGACTCAATAAATGATGTAGAAGGAAGTAATTGCAGCCTATTTTATGATATTGTCCAAACATCTGCCTGGAACTGCTAAGGAAAACAAAAACAAAATTCAGTCAGGATAGCTGGTGTCTAGGCTGATTTTTTGAAACCAGGATTTCCCCAAAATAAAGAATATTTACAACTGGACCCTATGTTTGGTATTTTTTTTAAATTTTATTCAATGCACTGAATATGTATGACAACACCCCAATCTGTAATAACAAATGTAACATTTACTCGCATATTAAAAAAATTCCATGAACACTAACACATTTTGCAAACTTAAAAGAATTTTACTATGTTTATGTTATGGCATAATATTACAAGATAAAAAACCTTAAATAATTCATAATGAATATTACAAATCATAGAGAAATCTCATAACTCAGTTGTCTTGAATGCAACCTGTGATACGTAAAGCAGGGAAAAAGAAGTCTGTTATAAAAATAAATATCATACAGTTGTAAAGTCTCCAATGAAAAATGTATATAAAAATCAAAGAAAGATGAAAAGCAGTTCTTAATACAAAACTGGACATTACTGATGAATCTGCTAATTACAAATCATATATAATGACTGCAGCCACTGAAGGTAACTTGCTTCAAAATTTCAATTTCAATGTTGTCTATCAATCTTAACAGCACAAAAAGACATTCTCATACTTAATATTAGTATCATATAAGTAACATTAAACTTAAAGTAATATGAACACAGGTCTTAATATGTTTGAATATGACTCATTTCTACTTGCTACCATTCCTGATGCTGGAACTCTAGAATATAACTTGGACTGCAAAATTCTGTAACTAGTTTCATTTTAATTCCTCATGAGACTATTTCTAATTCAGGTTATGGTGAATACTCTACTATAAAACGACTGTCATGTTACACTTACTGTATTGGAAGAGACTACTTCAGGTACAAGATGTCCTGTTTTTCATCTTTACAAATCTGCCTTTACAATAACTTATACTGCAGGGTTAGACAAGAAAGCAATAAATGTTTAGAGTTATGGAAATTTATGGAAAAAATTCGAAGTTCACTTTCGTCTGTTATTTTGAAACTGTAATTGAACTACTAAATTCAGCCTTATTTTTGTCCACTTGCATGGCAGTAGTTTGAAGTAACAAGAAACTTCAACTCACAAAACATAACATTTTCTCAAATTCTGAGCATAATACAAGGAAAAGTGTGAATTAAAAAGACTGTTAGAAGCTGTTCAACTGCCAGAAGAGGTAATATGAGGTCTGTTCAAATGAAACCCATTTAAGGACTTTCC